ATCCAGGTCGACAAGTTCCCGTTGGTCCAACAGGACCCACAGGTCCCACAGATCCCACAGGCGTCGCAGGTTTCACAGGTCTCACAGGCCACAGGTTCCCCAGGTCGCACAGGTCCCAATAGTTCAGCAGGTCCCACAGGTCCACAGTTCCCAGCTGGCCACAGGCCCCACAGGCAACTAAAGTCCCACAGGTTCCACAGGTGCCGCAGATCGCACAGGTCCCATAGTTCCGACCTGCCCCACAGGTCCCACAGGTCACCTGGGCTGCTATCTTCGCTGGGGTAATGGAGTTCCAGATCGGCTATGACACGCGTCCACCGAGAGCCAAAGACAAATCCGCGCAATGGGAAGGGACGGGAGGGAGGGAGGGATAGGATGTCTGATGTGGCGCGGTGGCGCTAGCTTGATATGAATATTACGCTCATCTCTCCCCTGCAGCTGTCCTGGGCGTGGACCCGTCCCCTTCGCACATGTTTTTTTTTTAAGATTGCAGAGTTGATATTCTAGACGCTTCGCGTAATTCCACCAGCTTATTCAGAAACGATATCCAGACGAGTTGCCCCGATCAGGGATGTGAGGAGCATGCAGAGGAATCTAGGGCTGGCTAAGACGTCGTAGCCCTCTGGGGGGAGGATGGAGGAGGAATTGGAGGAAGAACTTGAGGAGGGGGAGGAGGAGGGAGAGGGGAAGGGGGAGGAGGGAGGAGGAAGGAGGAGGAATAGGCGGATGAGTAAGAGAGTAAGAGGAGAAGGAGGAGGAGGAGAAGGAGGAGGAGGAGGAGCAGGAGGAGGGCGAGCAGAAAGGCCAGAGGCCTCGTGGATGCCTCTCGGAGTCTCTTCGAATGTCTCGAGAGCTTCTTGGAGTCTTCTGGGGCGTCTTGGGGGGCTCTTGGCGGCCCTGGGGCATATCGGTGTGTCTTTGGGGATCTCGGGGGAGGCTCTTGGGGCCTCTTGGGAGGTTCTCGGGAGCCTCTTGGGGACCTCTGAGGGCCTCTTGGGGCCTCCTGGGCGCCTCTTGTGGCACTCCTAGGAGCCTTGGAGCCCATCTTTAGGCCATCCTGGAGGGTGTCGATCAGAGAAGGGGGTCCACTCCATAAGAGTCCCCCCCCAGGAGGCCAACACGTTGCCAAAACCTTCTCGCCGAAGCCGCTTTGGACGCTCCAGTGGGTCGCGACCGTCACCTCCCCGTCCAGGTCCACGGGGAGGGGGTCGGGGGAAGGGTCAAGACACCCTGCCCGTCCGCAAGCTGTCTTGCTCACTCCCACCCGCCCTCCCAACACATGAGTAACACCCGAGCTTCAGCGTGTTCAGCGGTCGTCTATGGATGGGCAGCTACGGGAACCAAAAACAGACCCATGTGCGCGATGCTGGGGCGAGGTGCGCCACGCGTGCCAGGCGCGCCACGCGCGCCAGGTGCGCCATGCACCAGAAGGACCCTCGGATCGTTGATCTCATCCCCAGGCCCCCGACGCCGCGGACTCAGAAGCCCGCGCCCACTGTGGACAGGATCAAAGCATGCCTTCCTGAAGGCAGGCGCCCGGAGCGTGGAACGGAAGGGCGTGACAAACAATACATATGTATACATCGATCGGATAATGTAGCGAGCAGGACGGGAGAGAAGGAGCGATGGATAACGCGGCAAAGCAAGATGTGGAAGGAGCCCTTGTGAATATCTTGCGCAGCTACGTGACGTAGGCAGCCGTTAATTCCACGATGCATCGTGATTTTAATTCACTGTGCCGTGATAGCGTGCCCTTGCATGCGCTAGAACCTAAGCGCGCGCAAAGCACGCGCGTGGTTCTAGTACACGTATGTGTATTATATACATACACAAACGTATTCATGCATACACAGTTACATACATACATGCATACATTCATGCGTACATACATGTACATAACCATATTCGTATACGTGAACCTGTTCACATATATGCGCATACTCATATCCACATACATACGCATACACGCATGCGTATTCACATACACACGCATACATGTACATATTTGTATAGACACAACTACAGCTACACATACATACACATGAATACATACACATATATAGATTCTTGCATCTGCACCTAATGTACATATACACGTTCATACCTAGGCATATGTTTGCATTATGCATGGAATCGTGCACCCATGTATGTATACATGTAAACGTCCTACATGCACAGCTATACAAACACACACCTATACACATGTACGCATGTCATACCTGATTACATGCAAAACATACACATACAATCATATATGCATACATGCATGCATGCATTTATCAATGCACAGGCGTGCATACACTTATCCATACATACGTGCATGGAGTAATGCCCGCATGTATCATGTATTACTACAAACATGCACACATACATAATACATACATACATACAGACATACATGCACACAGACAGACAGACAGACAGACAGACAGACAGACAGACAGACAGACAGACAGGCAGACATACAGACATACAGACCTACAGACATACAGACATACAGACATACAGACATGCACATGTACGTCCGTACATGCATGCATGCATGCACACATGCATGCATGCATGCATGCATACATACGTACACACTTACATATGTGTGTCTGTGCAGGGCCCCCCTGGGGCCCCAAGACATCGGTTCTCCAGGCGGTGGAAACTGACATATCCCCGCCTAACAGAGAGGGACAAACACGGCGGGAGGGCCTTCGAGGAGGAGGAGGAGGAGGAGGAGGAGGAGGAGGAATGCATCTTTGGGTGAGGTGATGTGTTCATGACGCACCTCAGGAAAAGAGTTCGGAACACGAGGAGGAAGATACGGCAGGTGCCCGCCGCGTCGACGCGGCCCCGTTTCCAGGCGCGGAGCTTCGAGGTCGAACGCCGCTGATGTCCCAGAGCTGGGCGGCATTGAACGACTTGCGCTGTCGGGAGGCCGCGATCGTTCGAGCTCGAGCGACCCACGCGGAGTCAAAAACCAACGCCGACGCCGTCACGACACGAGCCTGCCCCAGGCGGATGCCAGCCACGCACCGACCCCGATCCTGGCCAGGATCGGCGTCCGTGCATAGCCGGCGCCCCCCTCCCCACGCAGCGCGGGCGCGCTGGCGCGCGCTTGTCCGAAGGCCGTCGAGGGCCTCAGGAGGCTGCCGAGCGCCTCCGAGGGCCGCCCAGGACTGCCGAGGGCCGCCGAGGCCCCCCGATGCCCTGCGACGGCCCCCAGGGGCCGCCAGGAGCCACCGGGGGCCTCCGAGGGCCGCCGAGGGCCGCTGGGAGCGTCGGCCGTCAGCGCCAGCGGCGCCCGCGCGCGCGGCCGAGGAGCCGCAGTGGCCTCCGAGGGCGGGGTGGAGGCGGAGGCCGCGGCTGCCGCGGCGCTGCGGTCGCTGCCGCCCGGGCTGCTCAACACCGGAGGGGCCCAGGGGCTGCGGACCTCGAGGGACGGGTTCCTGCTCCTCCTGCTCCTCCTGCTCCTCCTCACGTGGTTTCTCCTCCTCCTCCTCGTCCTCCTCCTCCTCCTTCATCATCATCATCAGCATCATCAGCATCATCATCAACTTCATCATCATCATCATCATCATCATCATCATCATCATCATCATCATCATCATCATCATCATCATCATCATCATAATCATAATCATCATCATCATCATCATCATCATCATCATCATCATCATCATCATCATCATCCTCTTTCTCCTCCTCCACCTCCTCCTCCTCCTCTTTCTGCTTCTCCTCCTCCTCCTCCTATTTCTCCTTTTCCTCCGTTTTCTCGTCCTCCGCTTCCTCCTCTTCTTCCTTCTCCTCCTCCTCCTGGCGGCACGGCGACGAACACAGCCAATTGCGCCAGGCGTGCCTCGAGGCTCTGCATTGGGCCCTGCGTTCTTCAATATTGGCCCAGTTAGTGTCTCCACCTTGCATGACTCCGCAGTGGGGTTGACGGGCTGGGAGTAACTCTATAAGATCTGGCGCGCTGCGGCTGTCATCGTGAGAAGCGGTACAAGCTGTGTGCATGAGGCATTTCGCGTTTGTTGTTTGGAAGGACAACATAGTCATCATGGCGCAATCGATTGCTGGTGTTGAAGAGATCGGGCATGGCTGATATTCACCTGGCGATCTTGTACAGTTTCTGGCGGGTGGCACTGGTGATCGAGTTCCATTATCCCACATCTGGCCTGGTGCGAAGATCATGCCTCATGACGTACATGAGAGTCATTGGCGTCTAGCAGACCGCGAGGGGGCAGTTGGGCCAATCTGCCCGGCCCAAGACTTTCACACCCACGGCCATGGTAGGCAATATTTCAATTCGATCTCTGCGTAACGCTCGAGGTCCCGATCTTCGTCGTTCCCGCCGATCCAGCCAGTTGTCGCGGTCCCCTGCGGCAGCTCAGCCGTCGTCAGGGAGTCGCTCTCCGTGTGGGCCAGACCAGACAATTCGCCAAACACGTTCGTTGGCCCCGCTTTCCCGTGGAGACAGATTATGCCTGTGCGCAAGATGTCGGTCGATAAGTAACATGTTTACATCAACAGCATATTTCGTAAATTGTTGTCGTAACATTGTTTCGATTCAACAGGTGCGTGGGACATGTTGCTAGATGTACTGGGGATTAGCTTGACAGTGTTCTGGGTCATGCGTTCGTGGACTTGTGACCGCAAGCAGTATATGAGCAGAGAGAAGGAGAGAAAGAAGGGTTCGACATAGTTTTTCTGGCAAGCAATTTCGAATATTACTTGGCGATATGATCATGCCCCCAAAAGACCGACTGGATATAGCAGGCGCAGGACTGGGTATAATGCAGGAGGATGGAGGAAGCATGCGTTCAGCGGCGGCGTCTGGGAGAATCAGGGCGCGCGCAATATTGCGGTGTCTAGTCTGACTGATGGACGGCCTCCGTTTCGTAGGGCAGCCACCACCACAACTTCTTCCTCCTCTTCCTTCTCCTCCTCCTCCTCCTCCTCCTCCTCCTCCTCCTCTCCTCCTCCTCCCTCCTCCTCCTCCTCCTCCCGCTCCTCCTCCTCCCGCTCCTCCTCCTCCTCCTCCTCCTCGTCCTCCTCCTCCTCCTCCTCCTCCTCCTCCTCCTCCTCCTCCTCCTCCTCCTCCTCCTCCTCTCTCGTTTCTCCCCTCTTCCCGTCGGGGGGGCGTCATGGAAAGACGCCCGCCGTGAATGTGCCACAACGGGAGGAGGCGGGGGCCTTCCTGACCCCTGCTTTCGCGGTGCAAGGGGAGGCTACTACGCCCGCTTTTTCACGGAGATCCGCTCCCTCGGCGTTGGCAGCTTCGGGGCGGTGTTCTTATGCCGCCACGTGCTGGACGACCTGGTGCTCGGTGACTACGCCGTCAAGAAGGCCCCCCGTGAGGGGGAGGAGGAGGACGAGGACGAGGACGAGGACGAGGACCCCAACCGTTTGGACCCCAACCCCAGATCATCCTCGATACGATGTTTGAATCCCGAGCGTTTTGTCATCTATTTCTGCCTCCGGGGGCCGTTACCAGTCCGCGGGACCACCAAGAATGGACCCGCTTCGAAAAGAAAACACCCCCGGGGGAAGATGTCCCGACCTGGGGCTTGGGACTGAAAAATGAGATCCGTCGGATGTCAGGGGAGGGGGGAAGAGGAGGAGGAGGAGGAGGAGGAGGAGGAGGAGGAGGAGGAGGAGGAGGAGGAGGAGGAGGAGGAGGAGGAGGAGGAGAAGAAGAAGGGGGAGGGGGAGGGGGAGGGGCGGGGTAATGAGGGGGAGGAGGGTGGAGTGGGGGAGGGGTAGGGAGAAGGTGGAGTCCAGGAGGGGGGAGTGCCTAGGGGCGCGGGGGGGCGGCATATGTCAGGCGGGCGGGGGGGGGGGCAGGAGGCGGGTGAGTGCGGAGGCCGAGATCTGCCAGCCCTGGCCGCGCGCTCGCCGCAGGAGGTGGAGCCAAGCGCGACCCAGAGGCCCCCGCCAGGCCCCGACGCGCACTGCCGCCCACCACAAGCGGGCGCAAACAGGCCCCGCGAAGGCCCCCAGGGGCCGCGCGGGGCCCGCAGAAGGCTCCGCCCTGCGCACGGGGCACCTCTCAGACTGGGGGGCGGTGGAAGAGCTCTCTCGCCTTGTCAATGACGTCCCATCGCTGCTCTAGGTACACACTGTTCATTTCTAGTTCTTCGAGTTCCTGATTTTTTGGGGGGGGCCGAGACCCTTTCCTTTCTAATTGCTCTATCCTGGGCCTCGTCCTGGCCATCAGGGGGCCAGGAACAATTAGAAACGAGCGACCCAGCCAACAGCAGCAGCCGCGCCTGCCGACGACGAGATGGAGGAGGACGGCCCCATCGAGGACTCCGACGGTGGCGGTGAAGCCGCAGGGCCGAGCGCGCCTGCTGGCCCTGTGGCGCGAGGACGGCCGCGGGACCCGACGATCAGGAGGCACAACTTCGTCACGGAGGGCAAGTGGTGCAGGTGCCTGGACTGCGGTGCGCGCTCCAAGGTGCAAGGGGCCCGAGCGGCGCCGTACAAGCGCCAGCGGTGCCCGGGAGTGCGGCAGCGAGTGATCTATGAGGGTGGCTCTGGTCGTGGCGGTGGAATAGGCGCGCATGTGTACAGGAGTCGCAGCCGAGGCCGAGACGCCTTGACGCCTAGCTGGCCGTCTGGGGGCCCTCTTGAAGCCGTCTTGGGCGCCTCTTGGGCCGTCTTGGGGCCTCTTGGGCCGTCTTGAGGCCTCTTAGGGGCCTCTTGGGCCGCCTTGGAGCGTCGGGAAGCCGAAAAGGCGAGAAGGCACAAACCCTTCAAAACCCAAGGGAAATTGACGATGTTGGCCTTCTTGGGAAGGCTCTCCGGGCTCTCCTTGGGGCGTCTCCGAAGCTTCTTGGGCCGTGCTGGGGCCATTTTGGCAGTCTTGGGGCGATTGCGCGGTGATTCGAGGTCCTCTCGGATCGTTCTGGAGGCCTCGGCCCGTATCGGGGCCCTCTCGGCTCCGAGAAAGTCCACGCGGCAGGATACGGCAGGCCCCCGGGAGGCACGCGTCAAGCCCCGGGAGGTCTGTGAATTTGGGGTCCAGGCTACCGTCGGCCCGGATTAGCAGGTCGACCCTTCCTCCTCCACCTCCTCGTCCTCGTCCTCTTCCTCCTCCCCCTGCTCCTCCTCCCCTTCTTCCTCGTTCTCATTCCTCCTCTTCCTCCTCCTCCTCCTCCTCCTCCTCCTCCTCCTCCTCCTCCTCCTCCTCCTCCTCCTCCTCTTATCCCGCCCCTCCCCCTCCTCCTCCTCCTCCTCCTCCTCCTCTTCTCCTCTCCTCCTCCTCCTCCTCCTCCTCCTCCTCTCCTCGCATCCTCCTCTTCCTCCCCCCCTCCTCCTGCCGCTCCTCCTCCTCCCTCCCTCCTCCCTCTCTCCTCCTCCTACTCCTCTTCCTCCTCCTCCTCCTCCTCCTCCTCCTCCCCCTCCTCCTCCTCCTCCTCCTCCTCCTCCTCCTCCTCCTCCTCCTCCTCCTCCCCCTCCCCCTCCCCCCTCCTCCTCCTCATCCCTCTCCTCCTCCTCCTGCCTCCT